TGAGGGAAGATTGGGAAGAGTACAGCATAGCCACCTGTGATGACATAAGCTAATGATGAAGCAGCATGGCATCACCCATGGAAGCTCTACAGTCCTGACCCCATATCCCATTTGAGGGATCCTGAAGAACGACTACACCAACAAAGGATAGGAAACAACACAGACCATTAGTAGTGGGATGAATAATTTGTATATCCATTCAATGGAATGCTGTACAGCAGAAGAAATGTACTCATTTTAAAGTGTGAATGTAAGCTTTCGGTTTTAATTATGTACAAAAGCACATAAAACCATGTTATTCATGAATACATGTTCTTAAACTATTTTCATTACTATTTTATTAATCTTGATATTTTGCCTGCATGTATGTCTGTACACCGTGTGCATGTCAGGTGTCATAAAAGGCTGGAAGAGGGCATCAGATCCCTGAGAACTGGAATTACAGTTTTAAATCACCATGTAGGTGCTGGGAATTGAGTCCATGTCCTCTGGAAGAGCAGCAAGTGCTCTTAACTGCTGAGCCATCTCTCCAGCCCCTATGAATATGTATTTATAGTAAAACTAAGGAGAAAAGCAAGAATAATAAAAATATTCTTAAAAGCCTCAAAATTGTTGTTAACTCTTATATTTAAAGTTATTCTTTGTAGTATTTAAGTTGAATGCTACTTTATGTCTTGGTTGTAAACGCAAGAAAAATTGGGGTTTGTATTAGAGCATTTACCTGCACATATATTAAGAATCAACTCTTTCAGAATTTTGTATATCTTGTATCAAAACTTAGTACTAGATAAGAAGTTAGCCACCCCCAGCACACACCAAAAACTAACAAAAATCCAATAAATGTAGACTAACTCTCAAAGGTAACCACTCCCAACAAGCAAACGAATAAAAGCAAATACAAACTTCCCTCAAATTTCAGTGTTTGAGCACAGCACATTTACAAGGTTTGGCTCCAACCAAGAAAACTGTAGAGAACTCTGAAGGAGCTGATAAAGAAGGAACAGAGAGGGCTCTGTCTACTGATAACAGTTTCAGAGAAGTATGATTAGAGCCTTGTACATGCTTAGGAAAGTATTACTTTCCTAATAGTTTTCTTTTTGTATCATAAATAGTATGATAAATAAATATTCATGGTATGTAATAATTATTTAAAATTAACACACATATTGTTCTTAATTAAATATTGTAAATATTACAATCTATTCAGACAATGAGTTCATATGTTCACCTTTAAGAATTTAAATTTTGTTATTCTGACAAACTGTTCAGGCATGCCTAATATGCCTACATATAGTTCTTCTATTTAAAAAAAAAGTAGAATCTTTTTAAAGACTGTAGCTTTTTTGCACTGACATAAAATTGTATGTATTTACAACATACAACCTGACATACACATACACCATAGAATGACTAAATCTAGATTATTGAAAAGTGAGTTGCCATATATAATTAACATATTGTGATAAGAACATTTTACATGCACTTAAGTTTTTCAAGAATACAAAATAGTATTTATCATAGTCACCATGTGTACAATAGCGCTAAGATAAACAGATTCCTTTAATAAAAGAAAGCATAAAATTAGACAACTACCCAATTTGAGGAATAGATGATTTCCTTCTTTTAAAAATGTAGTTCTGCTCTACCATTGTCTTAGAGAGAGAGAGAGAGAGAGAGAGAGAGAGAGAGAGAGAGAGAGAGA